CCACCATGTGGTATACGTCCACCATGTGGTATACGTCCACCATGTGGCATGTGTCCACCATGTGGTATACGTCCACCATGTGGATATGTCCACCATGAGGATGTGTCCATGCTGCTTCCACACCCTGACATGTCTGCAGTGAACCCTAACGCCCATGCACATATACGCTTTTCTCACTCCAGAACAGCAACTAGGTTAAGCTGCCTCATGTATCTCTGAAGTCTGAGTTCTTTCTCTTCCAGAGTTTTTTAAGATAGTTTCTATTACCAAACTCATACAGAGCTCTTCTAAAATGTCAGATCTGTTGTCAATTCCTGTTCATTGCTAATCTCACATACTGAATTATGTAAATCCTTTTGTATCCACAATATCATCATTTTATTTTGCAAGCACATGGAATGTAACTATGCTGAGTGGATTGATATTCTTTGCCTGAATTCCAACTTCTTTGTCTTTTCTGGGTCAATTGTAATTGAATGATTTATTTTTACAGGTCACAGCCTTATTGCTGTGCAGGCCCAGCATTCTTCAACTAGATGCCATATATTGACTTTGCATATTTAGTTTATTTCTATCTTTGGAAACATTTTGGTTAACCAGATTTTTTATAATTTGTTAGATGAGGCTCGTGTTAGTTTTTATCTGAACTACTTAGTCCCTGTTATGAAAGCAAAAACTATTTCTGTATTCTAGCCAGTGTGACTCCTAAAGCCTTTATACTGTAGCCTGTGAAATACATATATTTGCAATTCATAGGAACACAAAGCTCTCTTCTATCTTACAACTTATGATTAGCCTTTATGCCACTTTGATTGTTTCTTCATGTTTACTGATTCTTCCTCTTATGGAATGCTGAATAAAATTTCCAAGGCTCTCCCTGTGCATGGATCTCTCTTCTGACATGTCAATGGTCAGTAGCAGTCCAGAGATTTACAAAGAAAAGTTACATTTCAAAGACTGTAATAATTGTACCAACATATTCAGTGAGGTAAATTTCACTAAGTATTTGATCAGAAATAAAAATGGACTCCTTACTACTCTCAGGCTCTTCAAATTTAAAATTTAAAATGGACTCTTTATTACTCCTTAAGTTTTATATTCTTTCAAGTCACAAGACACAAGTAATTGTTTATTGCTACTATACTTCATGGTTTAAACATTTGTTTTGTATTTATAAATGCCAAATTAATACTAATCAGTGTACTTTCTTTAATATTTTAGAAACAAGCATTGCTAGAGAAAAAAATGGCTTATCATATACAAAAAATGCAGGATACTGGCATTAAAGATGACATGGGAAGAAATGCATTTGAATATAAAGGACAAAATGGAACTACTTATGAATGTGAGAATATTATCCACTAAGTAGGAAGCATTGATCTGTTACATGTAATATCTTATATGCTTATACCTGCTACCCACTTTATATGGAGTGCTAAACTAACCATTCCACATCACTGTTAGAGTTTGAAAGATCACAAATGCATGTGCATGCACACACACACACACACACACACACACACACACCTTAACTAAAACAATTTTATCAACGGGTTCAAGAGACAAATTTGATTGCCCTACTGTTTCTACTCCATTTCCCCATGCTTAAGATAATGTATAATTTACTACTAATACTTTAAAACTAAAGTATAAAATAATTGTTCTTATATATCAACATGGTGCTTTGCTATGTTGCCAACTAGTAAGAATAGAAATAAGCTGGAAAAATAAGAAAATAAAGATGGAGGAAAAAGTTGTAGAGAAAAGAAGGAAGAAAGAAAAAGGAAGGAAGAAAGGAGCATGACATGGCTGTGCCTAATCCACAGCAAAACTCTCTATAGTAGTTATCAATTAACATAGCAGAATTTTTAAAAAATGTTCTGGGGATGTACACTATTGAGAAAAGAACATGGCCACCTACAGTCTTGTCCCTTCCTGGCCTCCCTTTGAGATGAGACCCTCCCTTTGTCACTACATTACCCCCTTACCTGATCTCAGCTGGACCCACTATTTAACTTCTCCCAACCGATCTTGTGCGCCTATATAATTCTGATAATTTCTTCTGCTAACCCCAAACTACTAGCCTCTAAGTTGAGTGTAAGGTATGTAGAAAATGCTCTTGGCCACATGAAGTGCCTTCCTAATGTAAACTCGGAAGCCTTATCTGCACCGTGGCCTTGCCGGTGATGCTGTCCCTTCCTGGCGCCGTGCACAGGCTCTGGAGCCAGACTCCTGCTCTAGTCAGAAAGCTCCTTCTTTATAATTTTTGAGACCTACAGATGGTTTTGACAAGTCACTTAGCCTTTCACGGACACTTTCACTGTCTAAAACTGCACCTCATGCACTAAACATCTGTTGAAGACTTTTAAAATTCTAGCACAAATTAAGGCTTCACAGTTCTGTCAAATAAGAATATTGACCATTATTAAACAGATTAAATTTCTAATTTATTTTGCCTCTCTGAGTGCATTTTCTCAGCCCACAATCACCAGTCACTGTTTCTTTCTAATCTTTCACATTCAATTTATATCGAATCACGTATTTTTAATAACCTTAACTGCATGAGCCGCTGGAAGCTTGCGACCTTCTATCTGGCTACAGCTTTCTAACAGTTTTAATTACTCTAAGACTAAATTTCTATTTCTGTATATCATAGAACTTTAAGGAAAACAAACCTACAAAAATAAGTTTCCTAGATGAATTAACTCGATTTATTTACTTCTTTGAAAGATTAAAGATTACTACAGCTCTGTGCTTCAGAGGACACGTCACTTCACAAGCTCTGTAATCCTGTTGTCTCTGTCTCATGCAATAGGGAAAGAATGCAAATCGTCCATTTTTTTCAGTCTTCATGAAATTTATGTTACATTCATTAGTGTGTTTCTGTACACACGTCTGCATACGTGCACACAGTATCTGCATACCTGGGGTCTGGGAGGCTCAGAAGAGGCGACATCCCGGTGGCAGTGTAGGTCCTGGGAAGCAGACCCAGGCCTTCCGCAAGAGGAACAGGTGTCCCTAGGGTCTACGCTGTCCGCTCATCCCCCGGAAATGTCAGTGCGCAACACTGACACATCAAATCACCCTTAGAAAGCAGGAAGCCAAGACTTTTATACTATTGAGGTGACAACAAATAACGATATCAAACTCACAATTGTATAACACTGTAGTAATATTCTCTTCTACCAAGTAAAAATCTCCTAGAGAAACTTATGTATGCACACACACAGCAATGTGTGTGTGTGTGTGTGTGTGTGATATGTGAAATCCAAGAATCTTATAGTCCGTTGGGCCCAGTGGACCTTCATCCATGTCACTATGCTGGCATGCATCCTACAGACAGGAAACTATCTGCTCCAGCAGATTATGGTGCAGGTTTTCCACTTTCCAGAATATATATATATATATATATACACACACACACACACACCCTTTAAGCTAAAAACATGCCTTTTAAGTTAAAGGCATATTCAGAAATAATTATCTCTTCCCTTTTGACATTTCTCTATCTTCTTTCTTTCCTCCAAATTCCCAAATAGATTAATACTTCTCTTGATAATGAAAGGATAGTCAATTTTGGTAGTTTCATTGCCACTACCAATAATATGTTTTCTTATATTTCAAAGCTTCAACAAAGAAGAAAAAGAAGCAGTTTGATGATATAAAAGTACTTTATCCTGATACTGAGCTGAAACCATGTAAAGGAACATCAGGTAATTGAATATTTTAACAAGCACCAAATATTTAGAGCAATGATTTGGAGGAAGACTGAGTTGGGTGTGACCTTCAGTGGAATGCAAATGAAACTTTGGTTTATCATGATGAATGACTGATTTTTGAGGTTTCATGCTGTGTACTGTTTATAGAACTTAATCTCTAGATAGCTGATTTAGTGTTTTCAACAGGTCATCAGACTATCACTTAAGAACAGTTAAAACAGTATTTATTAGTGATAAATAGTAGATATGGATTGACTGATTGCAAAATACCTTAAATTCTCAGAATGATTTTAGAAAACTCAGAAATAGATTAGAAGCTAAACACATTGATTTTAAGCTGCTGTGTCACTGATGTTCTCAGTTTAAACTCATCATATTATAACATGAATTTTCAAGAAGTACTCTGATGATAAACTTATGAAAATGAAAAAATGAATTTTCATTAATAACTCTCAAAGTTATAAACACTTACAATAATGTGAAAGCTTAGAATAACCTTGAAATTTACTGATAAAAAAGCTAAAGAAAACAAGTTGAGGTTTTATTTTTCTTCCCTGTGTGTAATCTGCTTGCTTTTTACAAAATCTAGAAAATTGGCAAAAAAGACAATGCTGCCTAATCTTCAACTGTCTGTTTACCCCAGAGATTATGAGTTTGAGTATGTTCATCTGTATGATTCCTTGGATGAGAATGCCCCCTAGGCTCATGTATTTGAATACTAGATACTTAGTTGGTGGAATTGTTTCAGGAAGAATTAGAAGGCATAGCTTTGTTGACTAAGGCGTGTCACTGGGGTTGGGACAGCTTTACGTCTCAAAAGCGCACCCCATTTCCAGTTAGCTTTTCTCTGCCTCTTACTAGAGTTTGGTCAAAGTACCATGGCCCATAAGAAAATCTTCCTCTCCCTCCCCCAACAGCTGTCACAGTTAGTAATTACTGCTGCTTCATTTTTAACACTATTGTCCATGTTTTGTTTGGTTTTGTCACCATTGTTGTCATTGTTAGGGTCTTATGTGGTTGTTGCTGTTTTCAGAGTTTCATCTTGTAGCCCAGGGTGACCTCAAACTTCTAGCAATGCTTCTGCCTCAGTGTCCTTTGTGCTGAGATTACAATCATAAGCTGCCACACCAAAAGTCTATTTTTTGAGTTCATTTCCTGCCTGGCTATTGTTTTTACCATGATCTCTGAACAGTCTTATTGGGTACATTTTACATTATAAAATGCATTTTCCTTAAAAATAAACAGTAAATCAACACTGTACTTCTTCAGTGGAATATACCAATCTTGTCACTATTTTTTCATGTAACACATCTCTATACATTCAATAGTCAGTTAGATGTGGTAAATTTTCCTTTTAGTTATGAAATCCATGTTTTACACATTTGTTAGGAGAAAGCACATTGTCTATCGTGACCGCTGCCCCTGCTCCTCCTTTGAATACCTTCGTGCCTGGTTATCTTTCTGCTGTTATTTCACCTCTGCTTCTTCGGTGTCTCTTAAAACAGCTTTTCTAGCATCAAGTGATGCTACTACTTTTGCTTTTTTGGTTGTTTGTTTTTTAATTTCATAATGTTTTTAATCTCTATTTCTTAAATGTATTACTTTCAGTTAAAATAAATTTTAAGTTGAAAGTTTATATCTATATAGTTAATATATATTATACATTAAAACTAATATAACATTGTATAACCAATATGTTATCTTAATTATATTTTATATTTAGCATATAATTAATATTATGTATTGTATTACTCTTATATAGAACTAATATATGTGCTAGGGAAATAGTTCATCTTTAAAGTGCTTTTACAGAAGTAGAAGGACCTGAGTTCATATCCCCAGCATTCATGTCAACATCCTGAATACCTAATGCGAGTGCTGGGTCAGGTGGGGTGAAGATGAATAGATACCTGGATCTGATTGGCCAGCTGAAAAGAAGAGTTTCCGTTTCAGTAAGAAACTTTCTTTCCAAGTATTTAAAGTGGAGCCTGGTCATAGCAGAGTCTTTGTTGACCTCAGGCCTCCAAATACATACACACACACTTAAATATACATCATGTAAACATGTGCACACCATAAAAGACATGTACCCACATATGTCTACACACAGAAAAAGATTCTAGTTCACTTTCTCTCATAGTTCTGACAATATATCTATAATATTTCAATTAGTGTTTATATAATGTATCCAATATGATAGTATATACTATCTTCTGTACATTGCTTCTCAAAATCGGCATTGACTTTTTCTTTCCATAATTTTTGAGGATTTTAAACTTTTCCTAGTAAATAATTAAAATAGAAATAAAACCAACTGGGAGGTGATAGTATGCCTTGTATGGGCATGACTACCATCTTCAACAAGGTGGAAGCCATTTTATCTGTCTCCAGCCCATCCCACATGTAACATCATCATCAAAATTTCAGTATGCATTCTACTAAGATAGGGTCACTACCACTACTGTAAAGTTTTTAAGGTCATTTAAAGTTACATGGCCAGGAATCTTTTATGATAAAGTTGTATTAGCTTAAGTTAAGTCCATGAAAAGACAGAGCAATAGTTTGATAGACCTTTACAGTAATTGATTAGTAGATATATAGTAAGTACTGACTACATTTGTGTTGTGCTTTCCTATGTGTGTATATACATACATGTATGTATACATACTCACATAATTTTGCACATGAAGACCACAGAAGTCCATTTCAGAAATGGCTGAAGTGCAGAACAGCTGAGATGTCTATGAACTGATGGTAAAATACAAAGTGTGCTGTATCCAAATAAAAACGAGCAAATGTGGAACATACCACATTATCATGCTGCATAAAGGAGATCACATTACTTCCTCCAAAATAGAGACAAGGGAGAAATGTACACACTGTATAATTTCATTCATGTAAAATTACAGAAAGCACATAATAATCCTAAGAGCTATAGATCAGTTCTGTTGGGAATAGAAGGATGGCTTCGTCACACACATGCAGGGTTATCTACGTGAGAAATTCCAATACGCTATTGATCGACTCTTTCAGCTGTATCCCTCTCAGAGGTATCATTGCTCATTAATGTTTCAAAATTTAATAATTTAAGACAACAATTTTTGCTCTAACAGAGTATTCAAAACCTAAAGATTTTCTTATTTATTCCTAGAAGCAGCAACTATACTTAATCAGTCTCCGAGCAGTGCAAAGAATATTACAAAAATATCAGCATCCTCAGTTGCTTATCAAACAGAAGTGTACAACAGCATTTCAGAACAAAAGGTAAAGTGTTTCAAAGCTGTGCTGCTTCATCAGTTTCAGTTTTATTTACATGTGCTATCTCTTTTACTAACCTTGTATTGATTAATTAGAGATGAATTCTTGCAAGAAAAACTGATCCCTTTCTGGGGTAAGAAATAGTCAATTTAGCTTTATTACTGATGGACTGTGAAATTTAGCAAAAACAAATTCAAAGCCTTTTTCAGTTTTGATGGTGATGTTGCCATTTTCCGGTACTATAGAAAGTCTTTGCTCACACTGTTAAATGAACATTGGAAGGAGCCAAACCATGGGGAAACAGGAAAATTGGGAAAATAGAATGCAAAGATGAGTGGACAGTCACCCATCTTGAAGACACGTGCCTGGTAAGGCACAGACACAGGCAATGTTACAGTAATCTGGAGTGACTAATTTTTGCTCCAGCTCTGACCCTTAGGAGTGTTTTGAATAGGCATTATATAGTGCTGCATAGGATTTGAATTGGCAGAATTGTAATTGTTTTTGGATCCAGTTGTTTTAAACCTATCCATTGAATGGGCCACTGTGCCATTAAATAAAGTCCAGAATGGAAGAAAAGTAACCTGTGCATTGCTATGAGTAGAGTTCAGTTTTTAGCTCCACCTGAGCTAGTGAAAAGTATTCTGAGGAGTTAATGACAGGCACTGTGCCAGTACACTCTTTATGTCAAACTTAGGCATGAAGAGAAGCAAGTGTCTAGATTCATTTAGTTATCTGATAGAAAACAAAATTTCTTCCAGGAGTATTGATACTAACAAATATTATTCTCTTTAATATTTTGCTGTATAGAGAAATGGAGTAACGAAAAAAATAAGTGAGGAAAGAGGTAAGATTATGAATAGTACTATTGATTCTGGTATTAAGTACATGATTTTACTCCATTTTACAGTTTTTAATTAAATTTTTATTTTTTATATTAATTACAGTATATTCACTTTGTATCCCAGCTGTAGCCCCCTCCCTCATTCCTTCCCAAGCCAACCTTCACTCCCTCATCTCCTCGCATGCCCCTCTCCAAGTCCACAGATAGGGGATGTAATCCTCCCCTTCCATCTGACCCTATCTTATCAGTTCTCATTAGAACTGGCTGCATTGTCCTCCTCTGTGGCCTGGCAAGGCTGCTCCCCCATAATGGGGAGGTGATCAAAGAGCTATCCACTGAGTTCATATCAGAGACAGTCCCTGTTTCCCTTTCTAGGGAACTCACTTGGATTTTGAGCTGCCAAGGGCCACATCTGAGCAGGGATTCTAGTTTATATCCATGAATGATCCTTGGTTGGAGTATCAGTCTCAGAAAAGACACCTGTGCCCAGATATTTTGGTTCTGTTGCTCTCCTTGTGGAGTTCCTGTCCTCTCCAGGTCTTACTATCTCCCACTTCTTTCATATGATTCCCTACACTGTGCCCAAAGTTTGGTTATGAGCCTCAGTATCTATTTTAATACACTGTTGGGTAGTTTTTCAGAGGCCGCTGTGGTAGGCTCCTGTCCTGTTTCTGGTTTTCTCCTTCTTCCAATATCCATCCAATTTATCTTTCTGAGTAAGGACTGATCATCTTATCCAGGACCTCCTTTCCAACCCAGCTTCTTTAGGTGTACAGATTTTTGTAGACTTATTCTATATTATATGTTTAGTATCCACATATAAGTGAGCATATACCATGTGTGTCTTTCTGTTTCTGGGATACACTCAGGATGATCTTTTCTAGTTCCCACAATTTGCCTGCAAATTTCACGATTTTCATGTTTTTAATCGCTGAGTAGTATTCCTTGTGTAAATGTACCACAATTTCTGTATCTATTCTTCCATTGAGGGACATCTGGGTTGTTTCCAGGTTCTGGCTATTATGAACAGAGCTGCTACAAACATGGTTGAACAAATGTCCTTGTTTTATACTTGATCATCTTTTGGATATGTGCCTAGGCATGGTATAGCTGGATCTTGAAGGATCACTATTCCTAAATATCTGAGAAAGTGCCAGAATTATTTCCTAAGTGGTTGGACAAGTTTACATTCCCATCAGCAAGGAGGAGGGTTCCCCTTTCTCAACATCCTCTCCAGAATGTATTCCCACCTGAGTTTTTGATCTTAGCCATTCTGATGGGTGTGAGGTGAAATCTCAGGGTCATTTTGATTTGCATCCACCTAATGACTAAGGATTTTGAGCATTTCTTTAAGTGTCTCTCTGCCAGCAAATATTCCTCTGTTGAGAATTCCCTGTTTAAATCTGTATCAAAATTTTTAATTGGATTACTTGATTTGTTGCTTTTTAACGTGTTGCTTTATATATTCTGGATATTAGCCCTCGTTCAGATACAGTGTTGGTGAAGAACCTCTCCCAGTCTGTAAGCTGTCATTTTGTTCTGATGACAGTGTCCTTTGCTTTACAGAAGTTTTTTTAGTTTCATGAAGTCCCATTTATTGATTGTTGATCTTAGAGCCTGTGCTGTTGATGCTCTGTTCAGGAAGTTGTCTCCTGTGCCAATGAGTTCTAGGCTCTTCCCCACTTTTTCTTCTAACCGATTTAGTGTGTCCGGTTTTATGTTGAGGTCTTTGATCCACTTGGACTTTAGTTTTGTGCAGGGTGATAAATACGGATCTATTTTCATTTTTCTGTATGTAGACATCCAGTTGGTCCAGCACCATTTGTTGAAGATGCTGTCTTTTTTCCATTGAATGGTTTTGGCTTCTTTGTCAAAAATCAAGTATCCATAGGTGTGTGGGTTTATTTAAGGGTCTTCAATTTGATTCCATTGATCCTCCATTCTGTCTCCATGCCAGGACCATGCAGTTCTTATTACTATTGCTCTGTAGTACAGCTTGAGATCAGGGATGGAGATTCCTCCAGACGATCTGTTATTGTACAGTATCGTTTTGGCATTTCTGATTTTTCTGTTTTTCCATATGAAGTTCAGAGTTTTTCTTTCAAGGTCTGTAAAGAATTGTGTTGGTGTTTTTTATGAGAATTGCATTGAATCTGCAGATTGCTTTTGGCTGAATGGCCATTTTCACTATGTTAATCCTACCGATCCATGAGAATGGAAGATCTTTCCATCGTCTGATATCTTCTTCAGTTTCTTTCTTCAGACTTGAAGATTTTTTCAAACAGGTCTTTCACTTGCTTGGTCAGAGTCACCCCAAGGTACTTTATGTTATTAGTGGCTATTGTAAAGGGTGTTATTTTCCTAATTTCTTTATTGGTCCTTTTACCTTTTGTATACAGGAGGGCTACTGATTTTTTTTTTTTAGTTAATTTTTTATCCAGCCACTTTGTTGAAGGTGTTTATCAGCAGAAGGAGTTCACTGGTTGAATTTTTGGGGCCTCTCATGTATACTATCATATCATCTGCGAACAGTGATACTGTGACTTCTTTCTTTCTGATTTGTATCCCTTTGATCTCCTTTAGTTGCCTTATTGCTCTAGTTAGGATTTCAAGAACTAAGTTGAAGAGATATAGAGAGAGTGGGAATCTAAGATCATGTGATTTTTCTCCTTCAGTTTGTTTATGGTGGATTGCTTTGATGGATTTCTGTATACTGAACCACCCCTGCTCTCCTGGGATGAAGGCTACTTGGTCGTGGTTGATGATATCTTTTATACATTCTTGGATTTGGTTTGCCAGTATGTTGTTATGTATTTTTTGCATCAATGTTCATAAGAGAGATAGGTCTGAAGTTCTCTTTCATTGTTGGGTTTTTGTTTGGTTTAGGTATCAAGGTGACTGTGGCTTCATAGAATGATTTTTGTAATGTTCCTTCTGTTTCTATATTGTGGAAAATTTTGAACAGAATTAGAGTTAGCTTTTCTTTGAAGTTCTGATAGAATTCTGCTCTGAAACCCTGTTGCCCTGGGCTTTTTTTGAGAAGTGAGACTTCTGATGACTGCTTCTATTTCCTTGAAGGATATAAGACTATTCAATCTATTTACCTGATCTTGATTTAATTTTGGTAAATGGAATCTATCAAAAAAAAAGTCCATTTCTTTTAGATTTTCAAATTTTGTGGCAAATAGACTTTTGTAGTGAGACCTAATGATTGTTTGGATTTCCTCAGTGTCTGTTGTTATATCCCCTTTTCGTTTCTGATTTGCTGAGTTGGAGAGTTTTTCTCTGCCTTTTAGTTAGTTTGGCTAAGGGTTTGTCTATCTTGTTGATATTCTCAAAAAAAAAAAAAACAGCTCTTAGTTTCATTGATTCGTTTCTAATTCCTGATTTCAGCCCTGCGCTTAAAAATTTTTGCTATCTACTCCTCTTGGTTGTGTCTGCTTCTTTTTATTTTACCCTAGGGCTTTCAGGTGAGCCATTAATTTGCTTGTATGAGATGTCACAAATTTCTTCTTGAAGGCACTTAGCACTACTTTCATTGTGCCCCATAAGTTTGGGTATGTTGTGCCTTCAGTTTCATTGAATTCTAGAAAGTCTTTAATTTCTTTCTTTATTTCTTCCCTAACTCAGCTGTCATTGAGTAGCAAGTTGTTCAGTTTTCAGGTGTGTGTAGGGTTTTTGCTATTTCTGTTGTTGTTGAGGTCCAGTTTTAGTCCATAGTGGTCAGACTGAATACAAGGGATTGTTTCAATCTTCTTATATCTGCTGCGGCTTGCTTTGTGACCAACCATACGGTCTATTTTGGAGAAGGTTCCATGAGGTACTAAAAAGAAGGTATACTCTTTTCAATTTGGGTGAAAAGTTCTGTAGACATCTATTAGGTCCATTTGATTTAGGACTTATCTGAGTGTCTTTATTTCCTAGATGATCTAGATGATCTGTCCCTTGGTGGAGCAGAGTGTTGAAGTCTCTCACTATTAAGATGTTGTAATCGATGTATGATTTAATATTTAATAATGTTTCATTTACAAATATAGGTGCTCTTGTAGTTGCAGCATAGATGTTCAGAATTGTGATATCCTCCTAGTGGATTTTTCCTTTTATGCTCCTCCTCATCTTTTTTGATTAATTTTGGTTGAAAGCCTATTTTATTAGATATTAGGATAGCTACCCCAGCTTGTTTTCTGTGTCCATTTGCTTGAAAGACATTTTTCCAGCCCTTAACTCTGAGGTAGCATTTTATCTTTGTTGCAGAAGTGTGTTTCTTGGATGCAGCAGAATGTTGGATCCTGTTTCTGCAACCATTCTGTTAGTCTGTGTCTTTTTATTGGAGAGTTGAGTCCATTGATGTTGATAGATAATAGTGACCAATGAATGTTAGTTCCTTTTATTGTGGAGTTGGTGGTCTTACTGTGATTCATTGCTTGTTTTCTTTTAATTTTTGTTGTGAAAGTTTTGTGTATCCTATCTTTTCTTGGGTGTAGTTTTCATTAGATTGGAGTTTTCCTTCTAGTATCTTCTGTAGAGCTGAGTTGCTGTGTAAATATTGGTTAAATTATTTTTGTCATGGAATATTTTGAATTCTCCGTCTATGTTGATTGAAAGCTTTGCTGGGTATAGTAGTCTGAGTTGGCATCTGTGTTCCCTTAAAGTCTGCATGACATCTGCAGGCCCTTCTGGCTTTCATAGTTTCTGTTGAGAAGTCTGGTGTGATTCTGATAGGTGTTCCTTTGTACATTACTTGGCCTTTTTCCCTTGCTGCTTTTAATATTTTTTCTTTATTCTCTAGATTTGGTGTTTTGACTATTATGTGATGTAAAAAGTTTCTTTTCTGGTCTAGTCTATTTGGTGTTCTGTAGGCTTCTTATATGTTTATGGACATCTCTTTCTACGTTGGGAAAATTTTCTTCTATGGTTTTCTTGAAAATATTTTCTGGACCTTAGAGCCTGGAATTTTCTTTTTCATCAGTTCCTATTATTATTAGATTTTGCCTTTTCATGGCGTCCTTGATTTCTTGAATGTTTTGTGTTTGAGACTTTTCTGATTTTACTTTTTCTTTGAGTGAAGTATCAATTTCAGCAAGTGTATCTTCAGCACCTGCGATTCTCTCTTCCATCTCTTGTATTCTGTTGGTGATGCTTACCTTTGTGGTTCGTGATCTTTTCTCTAAGTTCTCCAGCTCCAGGGTTTTCTCTGTTTGTATTTTCTGTATTTATTCTAATTCTGTTTTCTTGCCTTGCACCATTTCCTTCATCTGTTTGAATGTGGATTCCTGTCTCTCTATGATGGCTTCTACTTTTTTGTTCATTTCCTCTCTATATGCCACTAGTTGTGCCTCTACTTGTGCCTCTATTTGTTTGGCTATATTTGCCTGTGTTTCTTTTTGAGAGCTTCCTCTTTATTTGCTTCCACTTGTGTGGCTATTTCTCTGAGAGATTTGTGCGTTTCCTATTTATGTGAGTTTAATAACTGGATAAGCATAGCTTTAAAGTCATTTTCTTGTGTTTGTGATGAATTGAAATTTCCATTATTTTGTGGGTTGCTCGTGAAGCCGTGGTGTTCTGATTTTTGTTGGATGTGTTCTTATGCCCACATCTGGCCGTTTGCTTATCTGTAACCTTCACTGTTTGTTCCTGGAGTATGTACTTCAGACTGGGTCTGTCTTTCTCTGGTGTCGGGGTATTCTTCCGGAAGATGAGAGAGGTCCACTGGTTTGAGAGTGTGCGTTGGTATTTCAGCTGTACCTAGGGGAGGAAGAGCCATTGGCACAGAATCACAATTGCGGGGAGCAAGTATGGGCGTGTGCGTGGAAGTGTGTCTTGAAGGACAGAGTACTCGGGAGTGTAGCGTGGAGTGTGGGGTGCAGGCGCAGGAGGCGGTGCTAGTGCAGTTTGTGTGCGCCATGAGCCTGTGCAGATTTCCTGAGTACCTCAGTGGCCTGCAGGCCTGTCATACCGTCTGTCATGCTGGTATTCAGATCTGTCTGGGCGCCAGGAGTTGTTTGCCCTGACGTCACTGGTAGACCCACAGAGCAGGGTCTTCAATGTTGATAATGTTGTACAAAGATTCCCTATGTTGCCGCAGAACTTGGGAGCTGGGGTTGCGGTCCACTGTGAGTCCAGCCACCAAGGCAAAACTAGGAGGCTACTGGCACAGATGCCTTCTGGAAGGCCCTGAGGAGCCACAGGCCTGGTTGGCCTGGTGGAGCCGACAGCGCTGTGCTCTGTACTAGGAGCTATGGACACTGCGTACTGGACTCTGCTCACTGAGTTGGGAACTGTGGGCTGCCTCTGCAGCCTCCGCCCCCACCAAGGAGCGAAAAAGGAGGCCTGTTGTGGGGAAATGTCAGGAGATTGAGTATTCTCTGTCTCAAATCTCAAGCAAGGATTTCTGTGCTAAGAGCAGCCAGCACTCTGCTCTCTGCTAGGAGCTGTGTGCACTGTGGGCCTCCTCCCCTGCCTCTGGGCTGCTGCCTGGACCACTGAGTAGGGTAGCCCATTAAAGTGGAAGTGCCTGGGAACTGAGTCCCCAGGAGAAGTCTGTGGAGAAGTCCCTGGTTGACCTGAATCCAAATGGTCTCAGCTCAAGGTTTGGACCCTTTCTCCCAGGAATCCTCAATATCGATGTTCTGGCTTCATTTACCCCTCAACTCACCAATTTCGGAGTTTCAGATCCTCTGCCCCTCAGATACGGTGCATGCTGGTTAGCACCATCTTGGATCTCCCGTTTTACAGTTTTGAAAGCTATTTTACCTAATTTTGAAAGGATTGCTTAGTTTTCCTTAATTGTTAAAGTTCCCTTCCTCTTTTTGATTTACTGTACATCTTGCAGTGAAAAAAAGAAAATCTTTCCTAAACAAGTCGTTATCACTTTTATGCCTTTTGCCTAGAATCAGTTTAAAACACAGCTTTGTTTATTCTTTTGGACAAACTGTAAGTTGTCATTTCATACTGAATAAAATTAAAACAGTCCATTTTGTCAAGGGGCCCCATTACTTTCAAGAAACTAAGATAAGAATTTCAGATTTTTCTTTGGAAGCAACAGGGAAGCAGTGACATTTTGAGGCAGTAAACATCCAACAACGATCTGTTATTCTTGGAGAAACTTCCTGAAGTTAGACTTCTGATTGTGACTCTTGGTCAGTGTAGCAGCTTAGTGGGCAGAATGCTAGGGCACACCTTCAGCTTATGATTCACCCTTGGCACTACAGTACGTTCACGTTGAAAGCTATCTCTTCTCCCTCTAGTTCCTGCAAACATATCAACTAGAGATTCAATTATTTCAGCTCAAAATTCACCCACAAAGAATAATGGAATTTCACGGTCATCTTTAGGTCTTCAAAAAGAAGAGGTATGTATAATTTTATTTACTCTAAATTCAATCAGAATAAAGGAGATATCTTCTGGTCATTTTAGTATGTGAAAATGCCATCCCTTAACCTTACAGTATAACGTCATCCTAGTAGATGTATCATACCATAGTAAAACTGATTCAAGTTAAGTGTGTCTAAATATAATCCACAAGGTTTAATATTTACTGTGTACATGGAGCCCTCAGAGGACTCAATTGAGCTTCCTTAGTGGGCTTATAATAATGCTAATTTAGCATTTTTAACCAGCAACCAGGTATCTGCTCATGAAAAGTTGTCAATAGTGATCAAAGATATAGCCATTACGTATACTTGTTTTCTTATCAATAAAATCAACACCCTTGGTTTGAATATTAGCATGATATTAACTGATGCACTATTCTCAAGAGTTTACATGGTTTTCCACACACTATATATTTAACAAATTCTCTCCAAATGAACTCTTATTATTAAAATAGATAATAAATTTTGACATAAGGTGAAATGTGTAACAATTGATATCAAATAATGCAAGATATAAAAACATCAAGCTTAACATGATGCTATGTCTATATACATGTTATTATAAATAAATATTTGTAAACTTTACTTTTTATAGTTCACTAGTTTGCTATGTCCTGTTAAATATGCTAACAATCAGGAAAAATTTAACTGCTGAAATAGTCACATTGTTTACCATATTTTAAAGGCTTTAAAATTTAAGAGATGAAAAAAGACTTGTTACAACTGTCTTTAAAAACACTGCAGCACATCTTTGTTTTGTACATTTTCAAAATATTATAAGGAACAAAAAGTAGAAAAGCATGTGTGTGTTTTGTTGATGGGATTTGGAGCAACACCTAGCATGATAATAAACTGTGTGTGTTGATTATGGAAATAGTCCAGACTGTACAATGAGCTCATTTCTGTACTGCACCCAGAGCACTGTTCGGTGAGGTACAGAGAAAAGCTTACCCCAGTGCACAAACATAGTGTTGTAAGCTGCATTGTTGACCTATCAGCGCTGCGTGCTTTACTCACTCCACATGTTCATCTCCAACGGGTAGCAGACGTCTACCATGATGCTCAGAATAGATTTGTACTCATATCAGACATAGTATCATTATGCAGGTTCGTGAACTTATATACAATTGGAATTGGCATTAGGAGTGAAACTGAAGCCTTAGATGTTTAGCAGGAAGGTTCTGTGTAGAAACATAAATTCTACCAAATTTATGACAAAAAAGTTTAATTTTCTATGGCATACCATGAAGAGCCTAAAATTTTCTCATTGCCTACTTTCAGGTTTCAAATATTGAAAAATGAAGATGCCTATTGTCATGATTTTTTTTTTTTTTTTTTTTTTTTTTTTTTGCAAGCAGGTTGAGCACAAAGAAAAGAATGAAAACTCACAATCCCTCATGGAGGGTGCGTGTTCTCTCAGTGCCACCGTGATGATTTTTTCCTCAACAACATCCTGTACTTCTGGTTAAGCTCATTGACTTGGACGCATTCTTCATGTAATTGATTTGGGGTTTCCTCCAAATATTCAGTTTGTAGGAAAGAGGTCCCTCGCAGGGACACAGAACCTTCCTGCTATCCAGCTAAGGCTTCAGTTTTCACTCCTAATGCCAATTCCAATTGTATCTAAGTTCACTAAACTGTATAATGATACTATGTTTTAAATGAATACAACTATATTCCGGGTGTCATAGTTGGAAAACCATATGTATGAGTAATATTGTGGACATTTTTTATAAACATTAATTTTAATTATGTAAATTATAAGTATAACATTATGTACAAAACAGGAATATTTCTTATAGAGATTTGTGGGAAATTTAACATTATTAAGTTTTTAAAATGTGAACATACAAATAGTAGTTGGTGACGAAATTTTAGAGGAATCCCTCTTGTTTATGTAGAAGGTGATGCAGGATGATTGGAATGGGAGACCAAGCAGGAAATCCAGCTATGCTGTTGAACCAGGTAAACATTAGCAATGAACTGTACAGCTACTAAAACACATTTCACCTGCTACTTACTATGCCAATTCCAAACTCTTTGCTAACTAATGAGTCGATGCAATGGTTTCTGCTAGAACTTGTACAGAGTACCGAAAGAAGAAGGAGAAAGTAGCCAGTGCTATTGCCCAGGGCTTTTCCCTGTAATAGAAATAATAGTCCTGACAAGCACACAAGCCACGATTCCTAATTCGATGGAGTGTGTGCGGAAAGCTGCCACCTGTTGGGAGAGAACAGCTAGGTCTATATTATTTGAGGCACAAGGAAAGTCATCTGACTCTTTAAATTATTTCTTTCATTTTTGAGATTATAATAAAATCCTTTCTCCCTCCAAAACCTGCTATATGCTCCTCCTCTCTCTCTTTAAAATATACAGATATTCTCTTAAGTACTTCAGTGCCGTGTGTTCACTCTGTATGATGTTCCATGTGCACATGTTTCCAGAGATGACTAACCGATGTGCTCCTCCCTGAGGAAGACTACTTCTCCTCCTGTCAGCATTCGTTAGTTGCCTGTACTTCTTTACATAGGATTGAAGCATCCTGGCCTTCTCCCTTTCATTTTTAACATGCCTATGATTTTGTCCATATTCAGTTCATGTCCAGGTAATCATGTTGGTGAGACTCTATGGGTGTCATTTCTGCTATTTCTAGGAGACAAAAATGGCACAGCACACTTCCTGTTTCTCTAGCTCCCACAATCCTCCTGTTCCCTCTTCCTCAATGTCTTCAAGAGTTTTATATGTTTTAGCCTCTTGCTGGATTTAATGGGCTATTTCTAATGATGACAATCAAAACTGAAATAATCTTGTAGTATTTTATGCTTATATTTTTATATCATTCTTGCTTGTGCAGCACCCGATCTTTTCCCTCTTCCAGACTTTGAACATAGGTTACAAATAAAATTATATAAAGTTAGGATAACCTACTTAATAATTTGAGATATTTGAAATTATTGATATACCTCTACACATATATATGATATGAGCCAGTCCACATATTCTTCCCCTCACAGTTAACTTGTGAATGCGTGCATGTGCATTGTTAGAGCCCTAAAGATCATCTCTCCTAACAATGTTTAAATATGGAATAAAACAGTGTTAAGAAGAGTCACAGTGCATACTGGGTCTGTAATATCTATTAATTTTTATTTTCCCTTTCCTTCCGTCCCATTATTCCCTGTTACTACAAGTTTGACAACTCAGGTCTCACGTGTCAGGGCTGACATTGAAGGGTTGCTTTTCTGCACTTTGGACGTATTTCACTGACAATAAGGCTCTCCAGATCTGTGAGTGCCGTTTCAAATGGCACATTCCTTTTTCCTTTTATTTTTTCATTTTTAAGAATGTCCTTAATTTTTCATGCTCCCACCTTCATCTTAAGATCCATCTTTCAATGCACAACAGTGTCCACAGCAGCGTAGTTGGCCTTTGTAAGTCCGCACAGCTTTGAGCTGCGCACTGCTTATGCCGATGCTGGCTGCACCTTCCCTCAGCATGTGTCCCTTTAGCCCATTACTGTTCTGGAAGCAGGATAGAATAACATCCGCTTCCACAATGTGCTGTGTGCCATTTTCATTAACTTACAAATTACCTGCAGAATAAAGGGCACAAGAGGTCTGGCTAGGTTGTGTATACAGTCTATGGATTTTCTATGAAGAGCCTTCAGACACATGGACTTGATGATCCTCAGAGCCCCCACTCCTAACAAATCTCCTAATGACACGAAGCGATAACTCTATATACCAATGTTCTCTGTCCCTTCATCCATCAGTAGGTATTTCTCTGTCTTAGTACATTTTTGTTCCTCCAACAGATTACCCAACTTGAAGCAGGACCCAGTGTCTTAAAAGCTCCATCTCCTGGGCTTGAGGAATCAGCTCAGTTAGTAATTACTTGCTGACATACAGTGAAATGATTGTCTGTGAAAGTTGTTGTTCTTGAACACTCTTTCATGTGAACATTTTTCTATGTTTACGGGATGATGGGTGTGCATGCTCACATATATGCAGGCGCACATGAACGCATGAGTATGTGCTTATATGTATACAAGTGCACAGATGTGTGTAGGTATCATGTCAAAGTCAAAGAATCAACTCTTGTGTATCATACATGAGAAACACACATTTTTTATTTTTAATCAGCAATTCTCACTGGCCGGGAATTTGAGAAGTAGGCTAAGCAGGATCTCCAGAAAGTTCCAGAGGTCAGCCTTGGTCCATCTCCCTAGCACACATGTGGGTTTATAAACACACGTGGGTTTATGAGCACACGTCACCAGGCACAGCTTTAATCTGTGCATGCTGAACCTGTTTCTTCTTCAAAATAAAATACAAGCAAACATTTCCACACACATCAAAAATATAGCATTCAGTAATCTATAATATATGTATGCATGATATATCTTTGTTATTCATTATTTGAAAACACTAAGAATTAAGTTGATTTGAAATAGCTCTAAGTAGAAACACAACTTCTCTCCTGACAGTCCATTCTAAGAGTTTCGTTACCTGTTCATTTGCACACACAAATCTGCGCATCTGACCTAGTAAAGCAGTGGAGCTGCTGTACGGAAAGGCTTCTGCCACTTTATTAGCCACACTCAGGGGCAGAATTCCTCTGCGCTGTTCACAACGTAAGTCAGACATTTGGAAGGGATGAGATAAAGAAGAAATCATTGGACAAGTGTTAGGAAAACATGAATTAAGACCTTCCACAAATAGGTGTTCCTGAGAATGCTGTGGTAAAGCTATTAAATTTTCCGAATATGTAAGTAAACTTGTGTTTATCAGAATGTATTGTTTTAATATTTAATATTACTGTTAAACTTTGTACATCTGTGCACATGTGTGCAAGTCCAGGTGCTGAGGAATACACAGGAAGGTGTCCCACCCGTTGGCTCGGGAGTTACACACCTATGCCCGCTGTCTGACATGGCTTAAGTAACGGCATTTGGGTTCTCTAGGAGAGAAGTCTGTACTCTTCCCTGATAGTCCCTTTTCCCAGCTCATGTAAAGTCTTTAACGTAAGCATTCTAGAGTGTTTTGAAAATGCTAAGAAAGGATATCTATTTGTTTAGGTGAGTTTCACAGGATATTGTCAAAAGTCTTAACACAGACTCAGCAAATGAGAAGTATAACTACATGGTTCTCCAAAGGCCAGGGAAATAGTCCAGGGGCTTAGGAAGCAGGAGGATAGTCAGTTTTATTCTACATGTGTAGACCTTAGAATACATACCAAAGTAGGCATCAAGAGGCATTGGAGAGGTAAATAAGGAGTTGAGATTGTACAGTATATTAAACTCTATGCTAAGAACTTCAGAAATTGCTGCAAAATGTCCTTAAAAGATTGTAAACTAGTTAGTTACAACTGAGAACCGGTATTTGAAAACAGTATTGTAATCTAAAAGACAGCAAGGATGAATATAAATTTCAGTCTTCTTTTCTTGATGCTTAGGACCTCAGGGCGGTGCTCCACCGCAGGGTATCCTTTCTTCTCCTGTTTACTCACATATGTAAGTACCGAAGTTCTGTTTGTGGGATTTTGAATTCATATTTTAGTGCCTGGCTACATAAGGTCCCCTTGCCTTGAGTAGTTCTCCTCAGGCTCCGTGAGCCTTCAGTGCTTGAGAACGTTCACAACCGAGCTGGAGCCGTCCACAAAGAGACTGCTCCCTCCCCCTTATGCCGGTACTTTGCTCTCTGCAGCCAATGTCGGTGCTTTTCCTCCAGCTTCCTTGTATTTCTCTTTGAAATATTTACCTATGAATTTAAGATTGTGGGCTTCAAAAGGCTGATAAAATCCTTTTAGTTGCCATTTTTCACCATACCTTTTTGATGACTTGATCATCATTCCTTTTTTCTATTTATTTGTTTATTAAAAATTATTTATTTTGTATTCCATCTATAAGTCCCCTCCTCAACTCCTCCTGGTACCATCCATCCTCCCCCTTTTCTCTTCCCATGCCCCTTTCTCAGTCCACTGATAGGGGAAGTCCTCTTCCCCTTCCATCTGACCCTAGCTATCGGGTCTCATTAGTACTGGCTGCATTGTCCTCCTCTGTGGCCTTGTAAGGCTTCACCCCCCTCAGGGGGAGGTGATCAAAGAGCCAGCCACTGAGTTCATGTCATAGACAGTCCCTGTTCCCCTTACTAGGAAACTCACTTGAAAATTGAGCTACCTATTGGCTTTCTCTGAGCATGGGTTCTAGGTCCTCTCCATGCATGGTTCTTGCTTGGAGTATCAGTCTCTGCAGGACCCCCTGGGCCCAGTTTTTTTTTTTTTTGGCTCTGTTGGTTTCCTTGTGGAGTTCCTATCCCCTCTAGTTCTTTCTATCTCCCTCCTCTTCCATTAGGTTTCCTGCACTCTGCCCAAAGTTTGGCTATGACTGTCAGCATCGGCTTTGATACCCTGCTGGGTCGAGTCTTTTAGAGGCCCCCTGTAGAAGGCTCCTATCCTGTTCCTTGTCTACTCCAACTTCTGATGTCTGTCCTGTTTGTTCTTCTGAGTGAGGTTTCAGCTTCTTCCCTAGTGTCCTTCTTGATTAGCTTCTTTAAGACTATAGATTTTCATATGTTTATCCTATAATATATGGTTAATATCCACTTATAAGTGAATATATACCAAATGTGTCTTTTTGCTTCTGGGTTACCTCACTCAGGATAATCTTTTCTAGTTCCCACCATTTGCCTGCAAATTTCATGATTTCCTTGTTTTTAATTGCTGAGTAGTATTCCATTGTGTAAATGTACCACAATTTCTGTATCCATTCTTCAGTTGAGGGTCATCTAGGCTGTTTCCAGATTCTGGCTATTATGAATAATACTGCTGTGAACAGTGTTGTCCAGAATAATACTAGTGTTGTAAATTGAATCTTTTAGAGAAGAGATGTTGAGTACCAAAGATTTTCAATTCTCAAACAAATATTGTGGAACAGCTATTTTAGGTTTATTTAGTCAGATAGTTTTTCAGCTTGAGAAGAGGCCATTGTTTTAAACCCATTGCCATCTTTTAAAAAATATTCATTTGGGGGTGGTATGCATGTTTATATATGTGCATAGAGGGAAAACAAAAGTCAATATCACTGGTGCTCATCATCTTCCCTTTGATAATTTATTATTACGAGACAGTTTTTCTCCGAATATGACCCAGGTTTATGCATGTGCTCAGAATCTAAACCCAGTTCTCATGCCAGCCAGCTGCGTGCACACACAACTCTCTTCTCAGCAGCATGATGCTAAAACCTTAAAAAGAAACCAACAAGTCAAATGAAGTACAAACTTAAACTACATTCATTACAAAGCTAGATTCCTGGGTAAATGACTATATAAATGAAAAGGTCTCTGATGGCAAATGATTTTCATATTTAGACTAAGCTTTGTCAAAGAATACTTTCACCTAGTGATTCACTATAACTCAGTGAATGTTCATAGAATACATAGCTCTGTACTATATCCGGAGAGAATGAATCTCATCCAAGTGGGGTAAAATGAGGAGGAGAGAGGTCCACTGTGTTCAGATAGTGATTACTTGTACTTATGGAATAAATAAGTGCCAAAGGAAGAGCATTACAAAGCCTTTCACTGCCTGACCAGACTCTGCTCATCACATGTACTGATTTAGCCATGTTTCATGACGGACTTTACCAGGAAGACACCATGTTTGTTCCATTGTCAGCCACTTTTCACCTCCTTTAAATACTTCATTCATTTGTCCTTTTTTAAAGTGTAAATGCATAAGAAGGCTAAGGTAAAAATGAAAATTCATGACAGAGAATGGAGATAAATTGTGTTATCAGTGGGAGTTGAGTTGTAATAAGCAGATGAATGATTTTAAAATCCTCTGAAGGATAGACTCTGCTTAGAGCCTGTATTAGTTGTTAAGTAAAAGTCCAATAATTTGGAACAATATTATGATCAAATTAACATACAGTTAATTACTTGTCAGCAATACATGGGTAAAACCAAAGGCAACACATGAAAGGATGTGTTCATCACATCTTTACATGAAGATGATCGAAGTTGGCAAAGGGATGATGGAACTATAGGCTTTTAAAAAGCAGATAAAGGATTATCAGAGAGTTATGATAAAAAAAGCTTACAATTTCTTCATCTCTATCAGCAGAAAAAAGAGACTAATCACCTGAGCCTTCCTTTCTAATCCTGTGTCACACCTCAAAGAATCACATAATGAACTTCCAGACACAGGCATTGTTATGTGATACATCGCTTACCATGATTCTACTCTCCTGAGTAAAGAAAGCACACTTTTTAGGCTACAAGATCATATCTTAGTATAACATTAAAGAAGAACATTGAATAAAGCAAAATAAATTTTAGGGTATTTTGTATTTATGTAGAAAAACATAAAAAAAGAAACTGAATAAATTATAGAAATTTAAAAAGTATTTTTTATAAATTATCTGTCTTAACTAAATTATAACTATTTTTTGACTTTACAGGCAACAAAATCTACAAAACTGCTTGCAAGATAAAGTATGTATCACAAAAATCAAGCAATAAGGCAATGTGTTAATTACTATGTGTCATTCTAGAAAATAATTGCAATCAGATACTAATCACCTACTGGATTGTGTTGTTCTTACACTTTGCCTTTTATTGTAATTGAAGTTTGCTGTTAGGTGATTTTAATAGTTTCCTATTGGTTCAAAGCTCCTCTTGGCATTTCAGGAAGGCCTCTGGGATGTAGAGTAGAGGCACAGGCGAGGACCAGCCTAGATGAGCAGCGTGAGATAACAGACTCATCCCTCATGGACTCTAATTAGCCAGCATAGCTTTTCAGATTACTGGTGAACTTTTTAAAGAATGAGATGCCTGCATACGTCTATAGCAATTCTCATGGGAAAAAAAAAAAACTTACCTAAGGTCACAGGCATACTTGGTCACCTGTGGGCTGAGACTTGAAACACACACACACACACACACACACACACACACACAAAGAAAATGGCATCTTTTTTATTCATTTTACATCCCGATTGTAACCCTCTCCCTTCTCTCCTCCCTATCCCACACGCTCTCCCTCTCCCCCCATTTGCCTACCTCACTCCTCAGAAAACTCCCCATCCACTCACTGGAGTGCATGAAGTCACATGAGGACTAAGGGCACCCTCTTCCCCTGTAGCCTGGTGAGGCAGCCCACCCAGTGGGAAGTGGAAAAGCAGGCAACAGAGTCATGTCAGGGACAGCCCCTGCTCCTTTTACTAGGGAGACCCACATGAAGCCTGAGCTGCCCATTGGCTACATCTGTGAAGAAAGGAAGCCAAAGTCCACTCCAGGCATGGTTCTTGTTGCTTCATTCTCCATAAGACCCTCTTAAATCATTTAAATAAAATTAAATTTTATGTTCACATTATTTCTCTCTAGTATGAAATAAACCAGCTTAAAATAGTCTGGAATTTCAAATAGAGTCTTAGTCATTTTCTTATAAATCATATTGGTAAGAACTGTTTAGTATAAAAAGTGGGATGCTACCCCCATTATCTCCCAAATATAGAGTAAATATTTATGACTTTCTTTTTTTCTAGGTAACTTCTGAAGAACTAAATAGCATAATTCAAAATATAATGACTTGGGTTGTAGCTACAGTAACCAGTGTATTGTATCCGGCCATCACGAAGTATGAGGAAAGAGTGCAGAGCAATGTGTACCCAGTGTCTGATGACTCAGACCTCTCTTCAGATAGTTCAAGCTTCTGCAGTACGTGCAGTGAGGGCTTTACCTTCAGAAGCTACACAGCTGACATGTTTCCAGTAGATCTGTGTGCATTTGCCAATGATGTGCCAGCCAAGAATCCACCCTCACCTGTGAAAACATCCCCACCTGCGAAAACATCCCCACCTGCGAGAACATCCCCACCTGCGAGAACATCCCCAC